CCAGACAGAGAGCACAAAGAATCAAACAAGCCAGTGCTGAAAATGTCTGCCTCCCAAGCATTTCATAAAATTTAGATTTCAATAAAGCAATAAAAGTCACCAAAGAAAACTAAAAATGCTAGTCAAAAATAAGGAGGCCGCTCATGTATTGCTAAAAATGAGGACGAAAGAGGATACAAATTTGTATAAAAGGTAAATATATACAGTGTATGTATGTATGTATAGATGCAGATTGGGAATTACTTGAATAAAAATAATTCTCTCCAAGGGGAAAGTTTGGCACTCTTCCCATCTCACACTAAGCCACCATGGGTTAATTATCCTCTGAGGCTTAGTGGTGTATGTGGCAGGCCATTCTGAATATTCAGACTGAAACTGGATTTCATGACAAATAATGGCTGGAACAAGCAATCTGCAGGTGGTGTGGTGATCGTGTGAACCTCATCACTGTGACTGGAGGACCTCTGTGCTCTACTCAGTCTGCTGTTCAGGGGAAAAGAAGGGCCCCGCTGCTCTCCTTTCTTTAGTTTTTATTGCCATGGACAAAATTTCCCAGAAACAGTTGTAATTGCCTTGACCTAGAGACACTGCTTGTGCATCAGTGCATAGCCCACAAGTAGGCTTGCATTCTTTTTTTGAAGAGATGGGAGATCTGTAAGGGCATGGAAAGTTCCCCCGACTGCAGAAACCAAATGGGAACTCTTGTGCAATGACTGCTTCCCTATATTTCCAGGAGACATTGACAGAATCAGCAACCTGGTGCCCCAGATATCTTAGAACAGCAATGATGGCCCATATTCAGGGTTTACTTGGGGTGTAAACACAGAGGCTTATGACTCTCCAATGCAACACCTGTTTTTAACTGTATAGATGAAGCACTGCAGAGCAGGAAGGAAAAATGGTTGAGGTGGCATCTGGATAGGGCACGATCTTTCAATCCCAGCCTACTTGTTATTCCCCAGTATGTCAATTTTTATCTTCTGTAAGGCTCACTTGTGCCCATAAGGAGCTTTTGCAGGACTTTAGAGCACCAAAAATGCCTATGACCCCCAACAATGTCAGGAGACATAGGACTGCACAGTCATTTCCCCAAATATCCAAAAGGCGCCAGGTTGCCTGGCCCTTAACTTACTTTGCATAGAGTTAAAAGATAGTTTAATCAGACCCATTAATCAAGTCACCTTGAAGATGAGGCTGGGAGGCACAGCTGGGTACAGAAACTCTGCTGCAACAAGCAGATCGTTTGAATCTTTTTGTTGTAATGGTTCTCTTATCACCCTCCCCTCAAAGAAATCTAAGCTCACTAAGGCATGCCATGAATTAAAACATTTCCCCCCACACTTCTTATATTCTGGTTATAATTATAATCCATTTTAATTATTGATGACAGGACTACTGGACAAAGTGCTCTTTCTTCTCAACCAGTTAGAAACAGGAATACAATAAGTTTGCAATAACCCGATAATGTATTATATGGAAAACCCTTAAAGCTTCGGCAATGTTTATTTCCATTCAGGGTGGTAGCTCACACAGAATAAAATGTCATAGGTAGTCTGATCTGGATACTTCTAAATGTCCGGCAAATCCCCCCCCCCCCTGAAATCCCCCCTCCCACACACACACACAGTGGGGACAGACTGCAGTAAAGTAGTAGAGCACAGACCAGTCTTCTGTGACTTGGTGGAGAGCACCAGTGTTCCCAGCCAGCATGCCCAAGTTCCATCCCTGGTATCATATCCAGGCAAAAGGATGCAGTAAGTGGGCTGGGAGGGACAACTGAGATCTTGGACAGCTCTTGTCAGAGAACACAACAGAGAGCTCGTAAAAAGCAGGTTTCTATCACTGCTTCACCAAAGAACAGTCTGGCATCACCACGTTATTCTGCTAAACTCCCAAGGATGCAGAGAGTAGCTGGGAAGTCAAGTCATACAGCAAACCAAAATCCATGGTGTGTTGACCAAGACATCTAAAGATGCTTGTACATGAGTGCGTGTGCTTCTGGTGCTCTCAGGTGAGCTAGAACAGATGCAGGGCTCTGACTTCCCTTCTCTTTTTCCTGATTCCTCCTGCTTTAGCAATTAATGACAGCATGAAAGCCAGGGGAATAAGAGGATTGAGTGTCCAGATCCCTACTGAGCCATGGAAGTGACTGGCTGTTCCTGGTCAATCAGCAGCTTTTATTTTAATCTAGACATTCTACCTCATAGAGTTGTTGTAAGGTCAAAATACAAAGGAGATTCATCTACTGAAGGGCTCAAGACTGCTGATATAAGCTTCATGGAAAAACAGGGGCTTGTTCCCTGGTCTTATATCAGAATCGTATGGGCTGTCTGGTCACCTACTAGACTGGGACTGACTTCATTGGACAAAGGGCAGGCTAAAAAAATTGAAATGCGGGGTGGAGAGGATTACATTAAGAACAGCAGCTCTTCTTTTACAGGTATGTTCAAGTCTCTTTTGTGCCAACCCAGCTCTGAGAAATCTGCTTTTGCAAACAGTTTTATGCCCCTGGTTATTATTCAGTTATACAGTATTGCCAATAATGTACTTTACCAAGTATGATCATAAAAAGGCAAGTTCCTTAAAGAACAACAACATATAATGTTCTTACACAGAAGCTTAGAATCACAAGATTATAAACAGTGATGCAATCAAATTTCCAATTATTAAAACCATTTTAAACCATCTTCCTTTCCTGTTTTTGGAATTAGAAAAGGACAGCAAGCGAAGAACTAGAGGCAGATCGAAGCAAAAATGACAGAATGCCAATCAGCCTTGATGACAACCGCAGTCCTTTTGGCCTGGACACCTCTGTTGGGTAAGATGGCTTGAGATATTTCTGGCAATGATAAGAGGGGGTGCTCTAACCCCTTCTTCTCCCCCTATTTTAGGGCCCTTTCATCATTGGAGAGGCCCCAAATACTTATTTCTGATCCTGACCCTGCTCATTTCCTTTTTGTTCAGTCTCAGAGCCGGTACATTGCAACATAAATAAAAATATAATTTAGGTGCCAGTATAAGTGGACCAATAAATAACTTGATGATGGCCATGATGTCTGGCAACCCCACCTTAAGTATCTAGTGATGAAGGAAATGAATTCTGCATCTGTGCAGGGACATAGCCATCCATTCTTATTTCTTATAATTAAAGCATTCATCCCTGGCATTGAAAACCAGGGTCAATGGCAGAGATGCAGCTAGGTAATTTAGATCCTGGACTTAATGGACTTAGGCGGTGGCCAGGGCTTAGTTAGCCACTTCAGTTTTGACAAATATTTCTTCTCCTACCATGTGCTTCAACATTCCTGACATATTAGAGGGGAAAAAACCTTGTTTATCAACTCCGATTTAAAACAAAATTAAAAACAACACTTCGAGCATGTTGTTCTTATGTGCCATCAAATCATCTCCAACTTACGGTTACCCTATGAACAAATGCCCTCCGGAATTCCTGTCCTCAATAGCCCTGCTCGCCTCTTGTAAATTCAAGGTTGTAACTTCCTTTATGGAGTCAATCCATCTTATAGTTGGTCTTCCTTTCCTTCTGCTGCCTTCAACTTTCCCTAGCAGGGAGTTGTGGCTTCTCATGATGTGCCCAAAGTCTGATTTTGTCATTGTAGTTTTTAAGGAAAGCTCTGCCTTGATTGGACACACATGTTCAACTGTTTGTCAGTCCAGGGTATTCACAAAACTTGCCTCCAGCACCATGTTTCAAAGGCCTCCATTTTCCTCCTCAGCTTTCTTCACTATTCAGGTTTCACACTCATACAGTGTGCAACAGCGTGAATGATTTTGGCCTTGGTGTTCAGTGAAACACCCTTACCTTTTCCAGTCCTTTCATTGCTGCCCTTCCAAGTCTCAGTCTTCTGTGAATTTTTTGGCATTTGAATCATTGACTGAGCCAAGAGATGCAAAATCTTTTACCCTTTCAGTTTCTTCATCAGTGACAGTAAAGTTCTTGGCTGCCTGTTCAGCAACAACCCACCACACTAAACTTGCTTAAATCATAGCACTGTCATAAAATGGAGCTTCCTTCTTCTACCCTGATGCAAATTATTTCCATGGGATTTATTTATTTAAAACTGTTTTAGACTATCTCTTTTTGACCGAAGTCTTGGGACGGTTTAACAGTAAGACAAAAATAAAATAAAACACAGCATCCTAATCAAATTCTGTCAATAAAACCCATATTAAAATAACAGTCAAACCTTAAAATATTGTGAAAATAAAAAGGTTTTAGCCTGGCGCCAAAAAGAATAAAGCAACGGCGCCAGGGAAATGAGCCCAGTTTAGCTGTAGAAAGAGACTGTTTATTTTAAAGTAAATGCAATAGAATGAAAGTAAATACAACATGCCTGGCTGTTCACCCTCAACTATGCGCTCGTATAACATCTTGACAAATAACAGGAAGGGACACCAGTGCCGGGGCTGGTCTGATTTGCTGTGGCCCCATCACCTGCCGCTCCTGGGGGTGGGGAGTCATCTGGGGAACTTGGGATCCCACGGTCCAACCTTAGACTGCTTACCACTGCTGGGGTGAGCCCTGAATTAAATCTTGCCTGCCTTGTCTGCCCTAAGGTGATATCTTGGTCCTCAGCTTCAGCTCTTGCTCTTTTAAGTGGGAAGGTGGGGGATTATATTTCAGCCCCCCCCCCCCCCGCTCCGGAGCAACCCGCGAGCAAAGGCGGACCTTCTCGCCCTCTAGAAGGGAAAGAGGGAAAGGAGGGGGGAGGAGGGAAATCTGGGCTGATTCTCTGATCTCATTCCACAAGCCAGTCAGCTGCGAGCTGTCTTCTTCCTCCGTCAGCTGATCCAGGCGGGGAGCCTTTTTCTGTCTCATTCACGCTTTTCTCACTTCCCAAGTGGATTAAAAAAAAAACAAAAAAGCAAAGCAAAGCAAAGCAAACCAGAGCAAACCCCGAAGAACTCTTGCCGGCGAGTTTCTGGGTCAGGACTGGAGGATTTATTCTAAAAGCTGGCGGGTGGGCGGTGGGAGGGCGAATTTAAAACAAAACCAAACCAGCCGGGCACCGCAGCAAGCTGGATTTGCACCGCAAGTTTGCTCCAAGTCCTTTCCTCTTCTCCAATCCGGGATGGCTTCCAATTTTAATGACATAGTGAAGCAAGGGTATGTAAAGATTAGGAGCAGACGTTTAGGAGTAAGTATCGCTTGTGATCTTTTTCTCACTCCCTTGTCCCTCCCCGCTTTGTTGTGCCGTGTTTCCTTTGGCAGCAGGCTCGGCTTGTCCTGCTTTGGCGACGGCTCGCCGCGTTTGCCACGTGGCTAGTGTGTGAGGGAGCCTTCCAGGGTCTGAGGATTAGAATAGGAAACCGGCGATCAGGTTTGCTGTGTGTACGTGTGCGTTTTACCTTGCAAAGAACCGGTCTTTTCCAGCTCTCCGCTCTCTCGAACGTTATAAATATAGAACGACTTGCAAGTGTCATCCAAGGAACATTTCCCATTAACGGGTGCGGGGGGAGCGCAAGTCTTGAGCTACATACGAGATTGGGTGTGCGCTCCTGACCAGATCTTGCCTGGGGCTCAGCCGTGTGCAGCGCTAAGTTTTTGGGTGCCACAAACTCTCGGTACCAAGTAGAATCGAGCTGGTGGTGCATGGAAGCGGTGGCGCTTAGGCAGGTGGGATGCTTTGCCTGCAAGGGAATTCGCAGAGGGATAAGGATGGTTTGAGAGTGGTCCTAGCTATTGGGTGCCCCCTAACTTTCGACTTTGGCTAATTCCAGAAGAGCTCCCAGAGCGACCGGCCTTGGCTCTGGCACTTGGCTCCGTGCTCATGCGCAGTCTCGTTAATTTTAGCTGGGCTTCTACCATATAACTTCCTGATGGACTGGGCATGAAGAGCATGGTGGCATCTTTGAGGTGCACAGCATAACCACGGGCAAATTTCTTTCAGGACTGCGCTTCCCCAGTGATTTTGATCATGGTTACTGTTTTGTGCCACTGTACTGGCTGGCACTTTCCCAAATCAAGATGGGGTGAACACATGTTGAGTGAAACATGGGCTGGATTGCAAACCATGGCAGTGGGTTTTCTTCTGAGTCAACTTGCATAGGATTGGTCCACCAAAGTCGATTTCATATGTGAGGCTAATGGTGCAATCCTGAACAGGTCTACTCAGGAAGAAGCACCATTGACTTCAGAGGGACATGTTCAAGGAAATGTGTGTAGCATCGCATCTTAACAGTACCGTATTACATCAGTCTGCTTACAAAGGAACTCCAGTTGAGTTCAATGGGATCGACAGCCAGATATGAAGGTATATGATTGCAGCCTTAACCAACTTTGGCAGAAATTGCTGCACAGTGAGAATATAAAATGCACACCAGTTGCACAGTACATTCAAATCTCCTTTCATCCCATTGTCCACATCAATGTGTGGACAATCAGAGACGTGATTCTGGAGCATAATCATAGTTCACTGTAAATCCCGAAGAATCCATGGCAAGAGGCACTTTATTACTCTATTGTTTCTTTTCAATGTGCTTATTATCTACTATGGATACAGGTGCACAAATCAGAATTTATTTCCTGTAACAGGCATAGAGGTACTTCACCACCCAAAAATCTGCAGGTCCAACTTTTGATGATATGTTACTAGGTCCTGCATTCAGAAAATGTTTAGCACCTAAGAAAAGCCATGGTCTTTGATGTGCTAAATGAACATACAAATCTATTCTTCATCTGAATGTTGTGGGAAGAAAAAACCCAATACCTATGCAGAAGAGCTGTTTTTGTACAACAGTGTCACCTGTATGAATTCTTAAGTTTATTTAGTAAGGAAGTTGTGTGCCCAGAAAGAGTATGTGTTTAATAGGTATATTTTTAATTGCATCACACATCAATGCCTTTGCCTTGTTTGACTTCTCATTTTTTGTTTAAACATTCATTTCATTTACTTACATATCTAATCCATTATGTAGTCTTGCTTCATGCTGCTTTATAAGAGATTTTACCTTCAGTCTAACTATGCACAGCCATAGACTGAGTCCTGGCAATTCTAGGTTCACATTTCTTCTCATTTTTGGATAGGCTTTGGCACTTCACTATACTCGTATCTCTGCCTTTGCTTTCCATCAATAGAATGGGAACATTGTCCCACCTGGTGACGGTTCATCCAAAACGTGTATCACAGGTCTCAGTCTTAAAAGGTGGGTGACAAGCTTTGTGCAACACTGAGCTTAGCCTATGAGATGCTGGCTCTGCAGATTTCAGCTGCAATACATTTTCTGGAGTTCTGAGATCCAGAGAAAAAACAGTGTGATTATCATAATGAAACATGCCAAAATAACTTCATGGGGCATGACATGAGACAGCTATTGCATCAACCTGTCAGTACCTCCTGGAGTAGCTAAGATGTCCCTGGAGGCTATCTTAGGGTCATAGTTCAGATTTTTAGTGTCATATTGTTTTTAAAAAGTGCTTGGCACGGACACAGATATATGGTCAATGCACCCAGTGAATCAGGAACTTGGATCACTATTTAAGGAAATGTTTGACCAGATCTAAGAAAAGGGAGTTTGTCTAGACAAGAGCTCAAGGCTTATACCAGGGGAAAGAATTAAATTTCAAGTTTTATCTAGAAAACCTTCTCATTAATTTGTGGTACAGAGGTATTCTGTGGTTTCTTGAGTGTCAAATATTTTACTGACTTACAGGAATTTTAAGAAAAAATAAATAGCTATAAGAAGGTTATTTCCCCCAAATACTTCTGTTTGTTTTTATTTGAATAATGAAGGTCTTATGTGCACATCTATGTGTTTGCAAAAACATGTGCAGGGACAAAAAAGAGGAACAGGGCCATTCAATATTTGGCTTTAATGTTGTTGTTCATTTCAAGTTTGCATTTAATACATTCTTTCATAAACAGGGTACTTGTTCCATTAGCATCTGCAAAAGCAAACAAGCATCATTTTGGGGAAGTAGGATGTAATTTTAGAAGTTTAATGAGTAGCCATGCTTTAAATTGACAGTTATTCCTCTGTGTTGCACCCAATGTTGTTGTGTTTAATTCCATCCTATAATGTAAAAATTTTCAACACAGTGTTGAAAATAGTGATAAATAAGAAAGTGGAAAGTTGATGGGATGGTGGTGGTATAAACAAATATAACTACCCTTTAAAAATCAACCAGTAGAATATACTACAGATATAAACGTGTCTTGTTAATAAATGTGAGGGATTTCCAATGAAAAGTACTTATTCAGTTCTGGTAATGTTATATCTGACAAAAGTGGACTCTGCCTCATGGAAGCTTATGCCAGAATAAATTTATTAGTCTTTAAAGTACCAGAAGATTATCTGTTTTCGCAGCAACATGGCCATCCTTCTGGAAATTATAGGTATTGACAGCATGTGGAATGGGACTGCAGCCTTCAGAAAACCTCTTATCCTTTGGAGGAGAGTAATCTACATTTTTTATTAGCAAGTAGAGTGATTCGTTATGAAGTAATAAAATATCCTGGACAGATTCCATATAAGTGGAGTACAGTATTTTTTAAAAGGAATTACATCCTTTATTACTTCATTCCTCTATTTGGTCATCAATTTTGTTTGTTTGTGTCTTTGCAATCAGAAGACTCATTGCTGTCAGATTGGCATGGAATACCGTATAGGGTTAAAAGATCAAGAATAAAGCACAGAGAATGCTTTGAGTGCAATCCTAACCATATTCACACTAATTTTGATGAGATGTGCTTATCAGTAAATAACAGCCTTAGAAAAGCCTTTCCCCACCTGGAACTTTCCAAAAGTGCTGAATTACAACCCTCTGTCAGCATGACACAGCATGGGATGGAATAAGATGTGAACTGGTGATGGTAGATGATGGATCTGTCACCCTGTTTCATCTCTCTGAAGATAACTTTTATCTATCTACAGAAGTGTAAACATTTACAAATTATCACATGATGAGCTTGGCTGAAGTGAAAAAGTGTCTTGGTTCTATAATTCCTCAACTCAACACCTGTCTGCAGAAGAATGCATGGAAAGGAAACTGAAATAATTGGGATAGTCAAAAGCATGGTTCTGACTAGATAATCTGTTTTCTAAATTTATTTAGTTTCCCAATAAACTTGGGACACCATCTTTGAATGAAATGATCAATGCAGTTGATCATTGGTAGAATGAAAAAAGGAGCTATTCTTTTGCCATGTTAGCCAAGCTGTCCCTCCAGTAAATATACAACAGTTCATTAACATCTTGATTTGAGGAATTTCTGAAGTAGGTGATGCTATAAGTTCTTGAGTACTGGCTTGAAATGACAAACCATAGGTGCTGTTCTGTACTGAAGCATGTCAAGAAATACTTAATTCTTTCTAATATTGCTTTCTTATTTTGCAGACTTTTACCCAAAGGTATTACTATATTATATATCTCAATTCAGCCAGGATCTGCTACTTATAGGCAGTAGCAATTTAAGACATTAGATCTCCATGTCCAAACATTATGAGAATCACATTCATGGCTTCCAAGATTTCACTATACCTTGTTTATCCACTTGATAGCCATGAGGTCTAGAAACATGATAAAGCAAACAGAGAAACAAAACAGAAGGCATTGATCCTCAGAAAGCATGGCTCTGTGTCTAAACCCAAACTGCATTTCCTCCACTGTGCTTTTACAGAATTATGGCACATATTAAGTCCTGGTCTTTGTAAGTGATTGTGTTGTTCCTCTGTTCTGACAGTCTAATGCCATGGAATAATAGAACAGCAGATCACTTCTATTACAGGAAGATGGCATTTTCTTTTATTATTTCTTCTATGAATGCAAAGAGTTTCCTCAAATTCCAGAGGACTTGACAGAAATGGACGATCTCAAATTCACTACACTACAAGGGATATGTTGGACTCAGTGGTCCTCTGGGCTCCTTCCAACTCCAGAATTCTATGATTCTATGAAGTATAATTTACTCTTTTGGCTGGAAACTGAGACTTTGGAAGACAATCACCAAGTGTACACTTTAATGCATAGAAGGAAGATCTCCGTGCATTCCGGTGACCTTTGTCTGCACATCTGAATGTGAACAGACATTTGATATGCAATCTGTTTCCAGTTCTGGCAGGATACAGGTTGGGTGTGGTGAGCTTTTGTGCACTGAGATACTCGTATATGGGCCAGGTTTTGTAGAAACAGGATCTGG